TGGGTCATGGAATCAAGCAGATAAGGGAGAGATTATGTGAGCTTATAAAAAATAAAAATAAAAATAAAGAAAAGAAGAAAGATAAGAACTTTGCTGATTTCTGTGTGTTCCAATGATGCCCATGACTGAAGAAACTGAGATATTTCGTGTTAGTCGCCACAATCTGTTCCTACCTTGTTGCCCTCTATCAACAAATTTGGTAACTCGCTTCATTTGATACGATCTGCATTCCACACAGCAAATACAAGCATAAATTTCTTATCATTTAATGCATCTCGTAGTTGTTCTTGCATTTGATCCAGATACAACCCTTCAGTGATCTTTGTACCCAATGCAGAGCAAAGGATCTCTTTTGCCAATCTAGTAGTATCAAAAGTCCACTGACATATGCTGCCACATCCTTAACTCAAAATTCCTTACGACTCTCTCATCGTTGTACCCAAATTGGCAAGTGTGGTGTTCTCTAAACCTTCGAATCCCACTGTACGAATAACATACACATTCTCATTATCCCTACCTTGATGATCATCGCTTGGTACCATTTGAAGGTCAACTGTATTTTTCTGTTTCTCATCACCAAGATGACGGTGATGATGAACAGTGCAAAGATCAGCAAAGCTCACATAATCTCTCGATTTCATGACCTACTCTCCAGCGAAATGCAACTAGATTAGAATGGGAAAAGAAACGGCGTACCTTTCTAATTGCGCCACTACCACGAACCGTTTGCCTTTGTAAAGCTTCGCACTACCAACAAATCCTCAGCATTAAGAACCACGTCTTGAAGTTGTCGTAGCCAACTGCGAAGCTCCTTGTTATGTGCTTGCTTCTCTTCAGCATCCAAGAGAACGTCTTTGATGGTGGACATGGTGCGCGCAAGCTTCGCAAAGCTACTTCAGTTGCTGTGGAGTCCATAAAGATTTCATGATCTTGTTGCCTTAGCGCCAATCTCCCTTCAGAACAAAATATTGGAAAATGGATTTAACTCGAATGAGAGATGACTTGGGGAAAACCGAGGTAAGTTGTTCTCTAAAATACTGAAAGTATGTTTAATGAGATTGATGACAGGAAAATCACCAACATAGGAAGTGTGACTGATAAATCATAAGCCTACTCACTCGTCTTACTATTCTTTATGTCCCTTAGATGAAGCCATATATTCCTCTTCCAAAACCTCTGCTTCTTTATTTTAGGATTGCCATGACTTGGAATAAAGAATATAAATCCGCGGAACTCCCATTGTTCTGTTTTTATCTGATCAAGTGAGTAACTCCAATCTAATTTTCTCTGCAGTGAACTCAGATAAGATTGATATGAAAATGAATCCATATGTGACTCAGAAAGTTTGTTCGAGCATATTTTTGAGAGAATCATTGTCTGATATGCCGGTGGTCGATTGTTATAAGTTCCTGTTTATAAGGAAAGATAATAATTATTCTGTTATAAATTCCGTTATGCTCTAGTGCAGTCACTAAGAATTATTATCTCCTCTCTTACTCTGCCTTTTTAAGTAGCTAAACAGTTTTGTGCTGCAGGGCTGGTATTGAACTTGTAAAGCTATCTGTATGCACATAAAAAAATTCACTGACAGAATCTGCAGTATTTGTATATGTACTATATGCATCTTGCATGAGGCGCTGCCACTTAATAGTTTCGTGGTTCAACCAACCAAGATGCAGGAAAATCAACAAGTGATTTTGCTGACAGTTTACATCGGACCAGCAAACTCACACATGAACAAACTCAGAACAATTAAGCAAGGGTTGATCATTGTTAAGTAAGAAAGATTTGTAAAAGGTATCTCTAATTCCCTTGGAAAAGTTGATAAGGTTGGTTTTAAAGACTAAATCGTGAAACTTTTCTTTTTTTCGGTTTCAAAATAATGACACTTTTCAAAACATGTGTTTTTTTAGAAATATCTTACTGCAAGACATACTTTTATTCCACAAGTGATCGTCTTTGGTTCTGAACTAGGTGTTATACTGTGATGTTTAGTTCAAACATATCTTAATAGTCAAGTCTGATTGACTTTTTGTTATCCAGGAAGAAAATCCTTCTCAAGAGTGCACAATTGTGAGAACAGCCGGAAAGCTTATCCCATTTCATTTTAACCGAGTTCAAGAGATCAATGACTCTAATGTTCCTCTGGAAACTCGAAGGCGTCTTAAGAGATATAACCTTAAACCTAATGAATCTTTTTCCTCAGAATCATTCTGCTGTATCTGCAATAGCCCACTCAGCCGATCTGACTTGTTAAGTTTGAAGAATTTTGAGGACCACAAAACAAGTTCTGTCTGCTGTTTGAGCTGCCGGCTTCAGATACTTCCTGAAGAGACCCCATCAGTAAACCAATTTTTTATGCTTTTACCTCAGCAACTGGTTGCTCGAGCAAAGCATGACAATCTTGACCATTACAGTGTCCTCAGGTGAGAATAGTATACATATTTAATCATGTATTATGCTTTGCTCATTGCTTGAATCAATTTTCATTATTCCTTAGAAGCTTGAAGATAACTTGTTATGGCACTGGGTGTACTGCACATCCATGTAACGGGTTAAGTTCGAAAAGAAGAAAACTGTACTACTAAATGAACTTAAAATTAATTATTTCTTTGTCATTTTATACCGCAAAACTTCAAACAGAAATTTGAAGATTATTAGAAAGTTTGCATTCTCGCGAGGGGGTAATCTAGACAGAGTCTACTGCTGAATGGTTCCGTATTTCTGTGCTGCGATCATGTACAAAACATTTGATCGGCTTCTGTTGGTCTTAAATGGTGGCATGAGCTGCCTATATCGTTGTGTAGCTGAAGAGAGATGAAATCAAAGCGAGAAGTCTACAGTCATTTTAATTCAGCCATTATGTTTTCTTTCAGGGAACAAATACAAGATTGCTTGCTCTCAGAAGGTGAAGATGAAACTTGAGTCGACTCGGCCATGCCTGGGAACTTTTCTTCTATAAAAGTGGTGAAAGCTTTGGTTGGTCAGATTGTTTCTAAAGGATAGTGGACTTCTGATGCAGGTATCAATTGAAGTTGTGTGGTTGACATCCAAGGCTGTTCTAACTGTCCAACAAGGCCTATACTCGATATTTATCTTGATGGCGTGTATCATAGGCTTGAAATTCAAGCTTGGTTCAGGTTTGAATTCGAGCTTGGTTCAATGAGATTGTATCGGGATTGCGAATTATTCAGTTGTTTTTATTGGTAACAAAAATGAGGCTGGCATTAGGCCTGTTTCATCTAACTGTACAAGAAACACTCAATACTCTGATTTTTTGGCATCTTATGCATTGCAAGAAGATTGAGTAACTTGTGTGCATTCAACAGATTTTCTAAAATTATTTGTACGATTTGAGATTTGGGACCCAAAAACAAAATATAAATCTACTAGGTTGTTACGATAAATGGTTGGGGATTTTGAAATGGGAATTGGATCCTCTCTGAGGCAAAGCCTTGGATCCTCCTGACCCACTAACACGAGCTGTTGGATTTTGATCTAACTGTTACAATTATTTTAACTTTTAGAGGGACCCCCCCTATTTGTAGCTGTTGGATCAAAATCCAACGGCTTGTGTTATTGGGTCAGGAGGATCCCGATGATTTGCCTCGGAGATGATCCAATTCCTTTGATATGGTAACTTGTGTGACTTCATTCTCGAACATCACACCCATGGTAGGATAAATTCGTAGGTTGGTCATCCCACACTCATGGTAGGAGAAATTTTTAGGCTGGGATGACCAAACCACGTGATTGAACAATATAAGACACATCGGGTGGTGTCAGATGGGGTGCGTGGGGTCAAAATACTAGGAGGTGAGAGTAGGGGAGGGTGTTTTGTGTCTTAAGCCGGACGGCTACTTGATTTGATAGTTGTTGACTTTTTTAAAAGCATATTAAGAGTTTGATCATATCTTCAGCTAAGGATCAGATTCATTAGAAGACTAGAAGAAGATGGCTGAGTTTGCATTTCCATTGGCAGCCAAACTCATTGTAAAGCTCGGCTCCATTGATGACGAAGAGGAGCAAGTACGTATAAGAAGCTATGCAGTTGGCTACGGCAACTTGAAGATGTGCTAAGGATTTGTTGGAGGAGTTTGAGTGCGAAGCTTTACGAATGGTTCGTTAGTGGTCCAACTAGAAAGGTACGCTGTTTCTTTTCCCGTTCTTATCCATTTGCATTCCAATTGAGAGCGGGTCATGAAATCAAGGAGACAAGGGAGAGATTATGTGAGCTTAAAGATGATAGCGACTTTATTTATCTTCGGATTGTTCATCATTTTGGTCATCATGTAAGGGAGCATACGACGCTCTCCTTTGTCCGCGCTTGGGAGGCTATTGGTAGAGACATGGAGAAAAATAAAATTATTGATCTTGTAATGCACCAGGGTGGTGACCAAGGTGGGAGTGAGAATGTCTCTGTTAATTCTATGGGACTTGGAGAGGCCTAGGAAAGACTACCAAGTTGGTGTACAGTGATCAGAAGGTCCTTCGGAATTTCGACTTGACGTGGCAGGATGTATCACTGGAATTTGATGTTACTGAATTGGCAAAAGATATTCTTAGTTGTGCACTAGGTAGAGAGATTAGTGAAGGGTTATCTCTGGATCAATTGCAAGAAAAACTACCCGACGCTTAACAATATCGACCGCCAGCATATTTCAGAGACAATCATTGTTCGATACGCTGGCGGTCGACTGTTATAAAATCCCTTGTGAACTAGAGCAGTCACTAAGAAGTATTCTTACTCTGACCTTCTAAGTGGCTATACAGTTTGTACTGCAGTGCTGGTATTGAACTAGCATGCACATCAAAAGCTTTAGCAACAGAAGCTGCAGTATTTGTATACGCACCAGATGCATCATTCATGAGGCACTGCCACTTTATAGTTCCGTGGTTCAACCAAACAAGACCAAACAAGACGTAGGAAAATCAACAAGTAATCTGCTGACAGTTTACATGGGACCAGAAAGCTAACACATGAACAAACTCAGAACAAGATAGAACGAAGGCTGTCCGCTAATCAAATTTTTATGTGTAAATATTAGACCCGTCTCATAACAAAATAAAATAAAAATCTTACTAAACAATAATCAACTTCCTGCCTCAAGACTTGCACAGAATGAAAACTTTGGTACTTGTCATTCAAGTTAAAGATGCAATGCTCTATACAGTCTTTAAGGCGAAATCCAATTCTCAGAAGCATCGAAGAGAAAGGAAAATGCAGCTGGAATGAACTAATCCCAAATGCGATGCAGTAACTCACTCAGTTGGAAGCCAGAAAATAAAGGCTTTACATATACCAGCTGACGAGAATTACCATACATTAAGGAATCTGGGAAAAGAACTCCTCCAGCTGATTTTCTGTTACGACCACACCAAGCTTTTCAGTAAAAACTGCATTGGTCACGTCAACTCCTGTTCCTGTCACCGCATCTGTAGCATGGATCTGAAAGTAACCATCCAGGTTGTGTACAGTCCCATCTGCACAAGTTTACAAAACCCCAGGAAAAAATAAATCCAATTCTGTTGTGCATAACTCATCACCTGATGCAGGACAATATGAAGGGATGTAGAAATAGAAGAAATCTGGGCTCACTCTGGCCTTTGGCATCACACCAAAGGGAATCACTCCAACAAAGAAACTAGAAAAATTCTGGCATCACAACGGCCTTCAGCTTCACACCGAAGGTGCCTTGGAATCACTACATGGTTGCTGTGCTTCACACACAGGTAGGAAACCCAGAACTTTTTTTATTAACAATCTTATTTTTAAAAAGCTTACAAAGTAGCCCCTTTTATAGCCCCCTTTTATAGGAATTCTAAAGACTAATGTATGACACCTAATACATTACAACTAATTTGTAGACTACACTGCATTTATTACAAAGGAAAGTAAAAAGACTCTGATATATTGAATTTTCACTTGGACACTCCATCACCACCTCACTTGGAAAATAGCTTTTAGAAGTTCAATGCCAGAACAAAATAATTAAGCTACTAAGAAGGGGTAAGTAAAAGAGGAGATTATAGTTCTTAGTTGACTGCTCTAGCTCATTAGGATTTATATAAAATTATTCTCCTTCTCTATAAACAGAGGATATAACAATCGACCATAAGAAGCTTGATTTCAGCTACTTTCTAGATATCAAACAAAATTCTTAACTCACGGCTCAATTTTCAATCTTATCTGACATTACTACAAGAGCAAAATTAGATGGATTTCCCCTCTTGACCGCATAACGAAACAAAGGGAGTTCCAAGAAATGACAATCCTAAAATCAAGAATCAGATACTTAGTTCTTAAGACTCAGATAATGGTTCTCAAGTGACTGATGTAGCTCATTAGGGAATATATATAAAATTAGTCTCTTTCATTCCAAACAGAACTTATAACAATCACCACAAGAAGCATGATTTTGGCATGAACCTGAACTCGGGCAAGTTATGCACCTTCCATCTACTTATTACTAGTAGTAATCAATAGTGGCTATTGAATCACATAAGTTTCAATCTTATCTGACATTACTACAAAAACAAATTAGATTGGAGTTGCTTGATCGAAAGAAAAAGAAAAAAAAGGGAGTTCCACACATTTTTTAATTTTTCCAAGAAGTGACAATTCAAAATGATTCCACCATCATCAGACCACATAAAAGCATCAGAGGATTTTAGCACTTACCCTGCGCAACAATAGGCTGATAGAGAGGAGGTTGACGAAGCCAATTTCCATTAGAATCTTTCATGTGTCTTCTATCAGAGGCAAAGAAACGAAGGAATATTGGGGCATGCACAATCCGGAAACACCTGCATCACGGTACCCGCAAAGATATCAATATAAATAGAGGGTAAGAAACTTATCAGATATATGGCATGTTATGTTGCAAGATCACAAATTTTTACCAGATCAATAGTCCCAATAACCTCACAACGTAACATCCCAAGTATCATTAGAACATTTCCCTATAAATGCAAAACGCTAAGGTGATGAAGTACCTTCGCAATTCAGAAAAGGTCTGAAACGAGGGGCAGAACGTTTCCAAGACATAGGTTGCTAAAGGACAAGGAAATGCAAGACTCGAATCCAAATCCCACACTAAATGTGTTGCGGGTGTGTCACCACTGCCTTTTTTCTGCACGCAAATGACATGATAATCCCACAGAACAACCCCATCCGCTCGATTGCTGGCCTTCTGGCGCCACAACGGGATCTGCACCATTTTATTTACACCAGAACAAACTCTAAGTTCATTAAAAACAAGACAAATGAAACATAAATTTTAAGTCAAACAGCCAGTTGGGTAACATGGGAACAGAAAATACATGCCTGTTTCTTGTCATTGGAAATGAAAACAACGAAAAGATCAGAACCCTGTGCATCTGCGATGCCCTTTTTGCACAGCTCCTTGCAAAGCAAGTACACATTCTCCTCACTAGAGACATAAAAGGGTGATTAATTTGATTAGCAATTGAGCAATAGCACAACACAAAAGCCAAAAACCAAAAACACAAAACGCGGGGTTAGGACAGTTCGCGGGGGCAGTGTTCCCACCACTTGCACCCAAGTTCGAATAAAAAAAGGCCTAGTTGATTGGCTTTACTGACGTACCAGTAAAATGGGGTGTGATGGAACCGAGAGATGTCGCAGGAGCTCTCGCTTACTTCCAACTTCGACGTCGTCATCTCACTCTCTCTCTCTCTCCCTCCGGGGCCTCTCTCTGTGGAATTGAATCTCACTTCCAAATTTAGTACCCAGCCTCCCCAACGACGCGTCGTTTCTAAACCCAGCAACGACGCCGCGTTTTCCTTGCTCTACCTAGGGCATAAAAACGAATCGGTGCCGTTGGTCTCCACACAGCATCTTCACCAGCGAGCTTCATATAGATGGAATCAGAAGACCTCAACAACCTTGACATTTTCTCCGACAGCGCCGCCGCCCAAGCCGATCCGACTCCGCGTGGGCCCAGGCCCATATGCAGCAACTGCACCCGACCCGGCCCAGTATGCCTCTGCCAATCTCTCCCGGCCCGGCCCATCCAAACCCAAACCCATGTCATAATCCTCCACCATCCCCACGAAGCCAATCACAAGCTTTCCACAACCCCAATCCTCACCAAATGCCTCTCCAACGCCACCGCCGTCATCGGCCGCAAGCTCCGGCCAGGCCTTTCGCCGCTGCTCGACCAATCCCCTCCCGCCATATACCTCTTCCCGCCCACCAAATCCTCGCCCGCCGTCACCCTACCGGACCTCCCAGCATCCCCTCTCCCTCGCGTTCTCGTCGCGTTCGACGCCACGTGGAAGCACGCGCGGGAGATGGTGAAAGCGAGCGAGGGGTTTTTGTCGGCGTTCGCGACGAGGGTTTGTTTGGATGTGGACGAGAGCGCGAGCGGTGGGAGCATTTACGACTCGGAGTTGGTTCTGAGGAAGGAGCCGTTTGGCGGGTGCGTGAGTACGTTGGAGGCTGTGGCCAGAGCTCTGGGTGCGCTTGAGCCCAATGGGGTGGAGATTGAGGCCCAGCTTATTGGGGTCTTGAGGGACATGGTGGGTTTGCAGGCTGGCTATCTTAATAAGCCCATAAAGCCCAGGCCCAAGTTGTTGAAGAAAGGCAAGCAAAAACAAAGGCTCAGGATTGAGAGTGAGAGTGGGAGTGAGAATCCTACGATGTCGGGTCTCGGTCGAAATTAGGTCCGCACTCGATTAGTGAATTGCCTTTTAAAGTTGGATATGACATTGGATATTGTTTTTAGTGAATTGCCTTCTGTTCTTTATCTCTGGCTTTTGTATTTGCTTATTTCATTTGTTTGTTTTGTCCACTCACAACCAAAACCCTGAGGCCGCGTTAGGTCGGAATATCATTTGTCGGGATGTAATGGAAATTTAAATTGTTAAAGAAAGCAAATTTGTCATAAAAAGACGGCAATCAATGCATCTTTCGGTTATTTCCCAACCTTGGACTTATTCAACATGAAAAGTCAACCATTTTCATTTCCAATCTCTGTTTCTGGCATATCAAACGTAGCCTTCAAAGGAAATAAAGTCTACTTCTTCAAACCGTTCCATAAAATGATTAAGGCTGTCCGTTCGTACTCAAGTTTGAATTTTATTTTGCTAGAAATTATAAATTGTATTAGTGTAGAACATCTGCTTCTCACACAAAAGAAGGTTTACAATATAAATACATTGGAGGTCGTATTCAACTTTTTTATTTAGTGTCCAATAGTGCACCGACCAGACCGTCATGATGTAATACCTCACAACAATATCCTCTTCATTTGCTCTATCATCATGTGTACAACTGTCCTGGCATTGTAACTTCCAAAATGGGAAAATATGAAGCAATACTTAATATTTTAGTAAATTAGTCAAAGTATATTGTATTTTTCTATTATTATAATATAAACGATATGCGGATAGTCTTGGGGCTTTGAGTCTTCCTACAGCGTTTCATATTTAGAAAAAAAAAATCTTATGCACATGAAAAACTCAAAAATCTACTACTTGTAAAGTTTTTTGCATTTTTAAATAATAAAAATTGATTGCATTATTATTTTTTTAACTATAATATTATTTACATTAAAGGGTGAGAGAGTGAGCTAAATTTCACAATGATCTAGTCATAATGACAAGATTTGTATCTCACGTTTTTTTTTTGAACAAACGATATTATTTACACTAAGAAGGAGGGGGTAGACTTAGCCTCACAATGGGCTAGCAATAATGTGATTCAAATTCACTTTTGGCGAGAATTCCTCAGTTTTAAATAAAGAAAAACACCACTTTAATATCATTAGACCATGATTCTAAGTTACTATTGATCGCATTATATATATATATATATATATATATATATATATATATATATTTTTTTTTTTTTGAACAAACGATAATATATACACTAAAGGGAGGAGGTAGACTTAGTCTTACAATAGGTAAACAATAATGTGGTTCAAATTCATTATTGGCGAGAATCAAACCTAAAACCTCTCACTTACAGATAAAAAAGAATACCACTAGATCGTAATAATAAGTAACAAATTGTTTTGCGTCCTTTTTGTGGGGGAAGGTCCATAAACTTTGTTATTGTGGCAATGTGTTGTGAGCACAACCTTCTAATTTTATGCAGTTCGTAAATTTCTACATTGAGACCTCCCACGTGGAGGAAGAAATGGATGTGGACCAATGATTCAAAGAAGACTGATCCAAATGTGCATATAGGCACCACATGGCACGTGATATGTTCACTTTTGTGCACTCCCACTTAAAAGCTCTCGCACTATTGTGTAAAAGAACTGCTTTTTCTGATGTTCTTCCGATCAGTTGGTTTAGCGGCTTTTCGTTTCAAATTTGTATTCCACCTTGTAGAGATATAATCACGATATATTTGTGATGAAATTGATATTAAGTTGTGGTTTGTTGGGCTTGTTATAAAAATCTATATACCAAGTTTCACTTTCTTTTTCTTCCCCCTACTTCCACTATTTTTCTATCCCTCGTTGTCCCATTGGCTTAAATGATATAATTCATTTGGCCTTTTAGTTATTGAGTTTCGATTAAGCTAATATCGTGTATTCTGCAAATCAACATTAAAAAGACGCTTAAAAGACAAAATGGAGTAAGCATTTCGGCTAATTTATTCTGTGTATTTTCAAATTTCGCTAATTTGGTTACTTCGCTTTTATCTATTCATGTAATTCGGGTTGATTTGTGATTAGTAATACTTTATTCATGATATGTATTTGTAATGCTATTTTTTTAATGAATAAAATATTATACTTTTCTTCAACAAAAAAAAAAATTTTGAAAAGAGCAAATTAAGAGAAAATCTTTTCAAATGGTTTTCTCTTTAAAGCTTATCATTAAATAAATACACAGTTAGATTTAAAACATATTTAAGGAATAACCCATTGTTAAGGCCCAAAAATGTCACATGCAAACCCAATCAAGTCTTGAAGCCCAACTGTTATACAATACATGCAAAGGTGCGGAATCGAGAAGGAGTCATGCTCGTAATCATGCCATGTTACGTTAATCAAACCACATATTTGTGTAAATCACACCACGCTTGTGCAAACTCATGCATATTTGTCACGCCAAGTTTTATCATGGTAATCAGTATTCATGCTAAGATAAACCCAAGTCACATGTCCGGGACTTGCCAAGTGAATTGTGGTGTGGATGGTTACGAGAGTTTATCAGGCCTATGTGGAGTCAAATTATGAAAGACTTTGGGTTGCTTGGGGCCCAAAGATCCAAGCCCATACTCTTCGAAGTCGACATAGGTAAGTCTGAGAAAGCAAACCTAGTTTCTTCCTTTCCCTAGCAAGCTAACCAACTTAGTTAGGAAGGAACAAGCCCTGAGCCTTAGAGTCACGTGAAAGCCCATTAAGACATGCATTTAATGAAGAGAGAAGCAGACTTTTCCTTCCTAACTCACCCAGAAGACCATCGCATGAAAGCCATGAGATGCGACACCAAAAGTAACATTTGTGGAAAACTGACACGAGAAAGCAGCGCCTCGGAAAGGAGGCGCATCACAATCTTCACATGAGTGGCTAAGTTACCACATGAAACCTGTAGCTTTCATGCTTAAATTAAACCAATACATGTCTATAGAACCCGAGTGTTCTACGATGTTTGTCTATGGACTACCATATGACTAACTACGTTTTGTCATACTTTCCGTTTTAGGGATATGTCGAACTTAAACAAGTTCGATTTTGCCACTTTGGAAGTCTCTAGAAGAAATTACTTGAAGTGGGTTCAAAATGTGAAGCTCCATCTTATTGCAAAAGGTATTAGGGCCACCATGAAGGTACCTATCGATGACAAACCCGTTGATGAAGCTCATAAAGCTACTGCAATGATTTTGGTTCGAAGACACATCCATGATGCAATGCAGACAGAGTACCTCGCTAAGGAAGACCTATGCACCCTCTGGCTTGCTTTGGCTGACCGTTTCGATCACCAAAAAGACATTTACTTGCCTGAAGCAAAACACGACTGGCAGCATTTACGCTTCCAAGACTTTAAGTCCGTGAATGAATTCAACTTTGAAGTTTGTAGAATTCGATCACTGCTTAAGTTTTGTAAAATGGACTTAACAGAAGTTGATTTACTAGAGAAGACCTATTCGACCTTCCATGCCACCAATATTGTCCTGCAGCAACAATGTATGGTACATAAGTTCACCAAATGTTCAAATTTGATCTTTGTTTTACTTCTCGCTGAAAAACAGAACTAGATTTCAAGCTTGACCAATTAGCTCGAACGCTACGCTTGAAGCGCACACGACTAATTCTAGCAACCACAAACGACGAAAGAATTGTTATGGCCGTGGAAATAGGCAGCAAGCCCAACCACGGGCCTAAGGTCAACAGAGCCAATGGCCATCCAAGGGAGGAAATTTGACCCAGAAGCACCAACCCCTTGCCCCTAAAGCCCCAAACTTCAAGAACAAGGGAAAAGCGACCATTCAATCGGCTTCCACTGAAATGGACATGTGCTACTGCTGTGGATCAAAGGTCATTAGTCACGTGTATGCAGAGCTACCCCTGAGGCTATTGCCCAGTACCATTCCCGTCGTGAGTCTAACTTTGCCCATGTGGAACATCCTGAAGATATTACTACATCTATGGAGATATCATATTTTCAGGAGGCATCAACTCTTATGGACGAATAAGTTTTATTCTTCTAGACTTGTTTTTATGGTGTTTTTACCCCTAGTGGCTGAACCCATTAGGAGTGGCCGGACCCCCCCTAATTTTTAGGTTTCTGGTTTAATTTTTGGACAATTTTTCTAAGTATTTGGAATACTTTTTTTGGTTTTGGTTTTTATTTTTTTATATTTTTTTATGGATATTATTTCTCGAATTGATTAATTGAATGAATGGAATTATATTTATGCATGTGACCAATTCAATCAATTTATTTCTAGGTATGTTTAGTGGGGAAGTTAGTTGTTTGGCTGATAATGCTACTACGCACACCATATTGCGCAAGCAACACTATTTTACTAACTTCGTGCCTAAGAAAACACCTCTGACAACTTTCTCAGGCACATCTAACTTGATTGAAGGATACAGAAAGGCCCATGTCACGTTGTTTAATGGTACTATCTTAACCATTAAAGAGGACTTTTATTCTCCACGTTCTGGAAGAACATTGTTGAGTTGTAGAGATATTCGAGATAATCAATATCATATTGAAACCACTGAAGAAAATGGTTTTGTATTTCTTTGTATCACTTCTTACGAGTATGGCCAGAAATATATTCATAAGAAGTTGTAACGTCTTTCAAGTGGGTTGTACGTCACAACCATTCGCGGCATAGAAGCCCAGCATATGGCGGGCCCTATGCTTGAGTTCTAGAGTGCTTTACTGCTTTGGCATGATTGTATGGGACATCCCGACATGACATGATGTGCCCCTCCCTACATTAGATTCCCGCTATGCAAAGCTTGTTCTTTGGGAAAGTTGAATAATCAACCCTCGATTACAAAGGTTATTCACAACCCTCCTAAGTTTCTTCAGAGGATTCAAAGGGATATTTGTGGACATATCCAACCAATATGTGGACCATTTAGATACTTTATGGTGTTGGTTGATACATTAACACGTTGGTCACATGTCTGTTTATTGTCCACACGCAACACTGCATTTGTGAAACTCCTAGCAAAAATTATTAAGCTAAGGGCTCACCACCCTGATTATCCGATCAAGTTGGTTCGACTGGATAACGCTGGAGAGTTTACGTCACAGACTTTTAATG